TTTCCCAGTACCTTCCCCCCTTTGTTTCCCAGTGTCTCTGGCCAATCGCCCGTAGGAGTTTTGCAAGTTAGTGTGAAATACTTTGCACGCCTTGTCTTTGTTTTGTTTCTGGCTGTGGTGTGATATACCTATGTGGGGGGTCTGGGGTTGTATCCATGAAGCTTGGCGTAAGTAGATAGTCGGCGACACCTCTAGAAGGACATCTTAGACCTTTCCCTCCTTCGTTCCCCTATATCTATATTATAGAATTGTTTGTATTTGTTTTTTGGTTTTTGAGAAACTAAACGCTGATGTAACTAAATGCTGATGTATAGTCATGAGGTCTAATATAGAGTTTTCATACCCTACAGGTATCACAGGCTCAATGGGTGTGTAGGGACATCATTTTAGACCTCACCTATGAATGTGTGCACCAACTCAATCAAAACTGAGTGTAGGGTCAAAGGGAAAGGTCTAATCTGACTAATTCGTCTTTAGTGTTCGGTTGATCGCCTCCAAAAAGGAGACACAAACCGCTTGAAGAGAAACGATGAGAAACGAGGAAAAACGGCAACAGCTGAACCTGCCTTGCACATGTATCATATATAGATGTTTAAGAGATGTGGGGTCTAACTTTGTATTCTTCAATGATGTTGGACCCTTTTACGTGGACCCCCCCCTGGTCTAACATAGTCGTCATTCCGTGCTAGAACAGCTCGGAGAAGATAATCCTAGACCCCAACATGTGGGGTCTACTTGGTGTTCCAGGGGTCCCTGCCTACTAGGCGCCGGTATCTGAAAAGGCAGCTACTTTAGGATGCCAAGGCACAAACACTACAGCTGTCAGATTGACATCCATGTTCAAATCCTGGACAGGCAGTGCAGAAGGCAAACTTTGGATTTCCCAGTCACCTTGGCGATCACCTCTTGCCCATCTGCAATGAGTTGATCGGTTGGTGGATCGCGCAGCCTTTGAAGCTCCTCTTGATCGGTATCAAAATGCGTACAGTTGCGTAGATGGAGTGAACATTAGTGAACATTCAGAAGTATCAGCATCAATGATCTGGATTGGCAGCTGTAAGGGAACGGGAATAGGCGTTGCAACAGGTATGGGATGAATGAAGATGACAATGTCAAGCTGTCCAGAAAGTTGTCTCCAATCATCAATCACTGGGTTCCATTCGCCGTTTTCCCACAGCAAAATGGGCTCATTGGCACGGTCGATTAGGTGTCCAAGGTGTTAAGCAAGAGGGCCACCATTCTGCGGCACAGTTGGTTCACGTTGAGGATCCAAGTCAAAAAGCTCAGCCACAAGTTTCGGCAGCAGAACGCCTGGGATTTGGGACCCTGCTTAGTGCTCAGGGAGCTTAATCTTGAAGTACTGGATCTTTGTGTCTGAGATGAAGAGCTGTGGGTGTACTGGAAGATGTTTCAACTCAAAACGTAAAGGATGCCTCTACTCACACCAAGATGTACAGGTACTGGAGCGCCAGATCTTAAAAATGGTGTAGCCGGTGGTTGGTGCAAACCGCGGCCTGCGAAACGGTGGTTGGTGTAAAACGTGGTGTGATGTAAACGGCGGTTGGGGTAAAACGTGGCTTAGTGTAAACGGTGTAAACCGCGGTTTGGTGTAAACGTTGGTTGGTGTAAATGTAAGCGGTGGTTGGTGTAGACCGTGGTTTGGTGTGGATGGTGGTTGGTTTTAAAATGTGCTAAATGGGTTTGGTGTAGCCGCGTAGCCGGTGGTTGGTGTAAAACGTGGCGTGGTGTAAACCGTGGTTGGTGTAGACCGTGGTTCGGCGCAAACGATTGTGAGGAAGGAAAACACGCTGGTGTAAATTCGGCGTGTTGCTGGGGGTCCGGAAGGTGTGTAACTACCGTTGAAAACGGAGGTGGTGATAGCGAAGGTGTGTAACAGTTGTAGCAATGGTAACATTGTGGTAGTGGTTCTGGGTAACTTACGGCAGCAGCGGGATCACTAGAGTTGAAGACCATTGGCCAGCTGTGGATTGTAATTTCGTATTATATCGTATTATTGTTTAATCCCACAAGTCTCTTCACTCTTTAGTTGTCTCAAGTTGTCTCGCAAGCACAGCTCGATCAGCTGACGATGAGCCTGTGGAGATCGGTGAAGGCGACGGAGCATGTGATTGTGGAATATTGTGGACTCATGTGATGTGATGTTGTCGTTTGTTTGTGTGGTTATGTCACGCAATCGTGTCGGGTCATTGACATGCGATGTGCATAGTTGTAGGACATTGTAGGATATCAGGCGTACGTAGTATGGTGTGTATGTTTGCAGCAATTTGAGAAGTTGCCGCGACTGCGAGGGGGTGGGTGTGTTTGAGTAATTAGGTTGCTGGTTTCTTACCTGCTCCCAAAAATTCCTTTGTCATTGCAGTGTTTTTTCATTATCCTTTCCACACCTTAGCGCTCTCGGGCCATCCGTCGTCTAGTTAGGAGGAGTGCACAGTAAAGTGAACAAGTGCTGAACTTCTGCAGGACTTGAGTTTGCTGGATACACTCGGCACGCCACTTCCAGTGGAACCCTCTCGTCCATTGGGCAAATTGCAACCCAAGCGGTGCGGGCACCATGTCAACCAAACTAGAAGCACTGAAGAAATTCGAAGCGTGCGATGTCAGGTGCTTTGTGGCGAATTCTGCTGTAGCTCCAGCATTGCTCTTGGCTTGCCACCACATCACGCAGATGCAATTACAGTACATTGCAAAGTGCAATTGAGTACCTCGACGTCAGGTGGTGTTTGCGTATCAAGAACCTGATTCAGAAGGACCAACAAATAAGAAGTTATCATGTCAGACTCAGGCTTTGCTGACGAATCCACGACATAGTTGTCGCATGCCAAGAAGCACGAAGGAGCTGAGGGTGAGACACGTTTTTACGCAATGAAGAAAGGTGACGATTTGCGCCAAGTCAGAGTCTTAAATTCACTTTCCGGACTTTGTTTTGGTGCAAAACATTTTTGGGCAAGCAAAGATGTTTCACTGAATATGTGTCAACAAAGAGTAGCTGTGTTGAGGATGCCTTTGTGCTCCAAATCTTCCGAATCATGGTCAATGGCTGAGATGCAAAGAGCTGGGATGTTTGTCCACCCTGAGAAAAACCAAAGAAGCGAACTAAGGGCGTTGCTCTTTCCTATTGTTCTTCTCTCGTTTTTCTTTGCGTTCACAGGAGGCAGCATGGGCTGAGCATGGCCTCAGAGAGGCGAAGAATGTAAAACGGAGCGGACAGCATGGATGGACAGAGTGATGAACCGGCTTGGCAACGGGTTTCACGTGTGGAAGGTCTCTTTGATGCCCTACGATGCCTTGGCGCTGTCCGCAAAGGACCTTTGCAAGCCTCTTACTTAATTATAGCAAGTCCAAGTCGCTTGAAACGTGCCAACTAATTGAATGACGCATTTGCAAGGAATTGAAGTGCTGGTTGTATACTTTTTGGTCATCACATGTTGCCAGTCAAACAGTGGATATTGATCAACTGTGTGTTCTCCATGTGTTGTTGTTTAAAGTGATCTCAAGTTGACCCACCGGAAAGCCTCGTATGTGTGTTTTTTACTTTGTCGAAACGTCGTTTTGGGGCTCAATGATTGTAGTGTCACCTCCATCACTCCTTGCAGTTTTTGAATGTCGTACTGAGCACGAGGAGTGTTTTTTCAAAGGAGCTAAAAAGGTTTGAAGCTTGTGGAATTCCTTTGTGAGGCTTTTGTACAGTTGTAGACATACTACATTCAGGCTCCCGCGCCACCACTAGTGTTCATCGATGAAGGAACCTGCAGAACCTACTCCAGTGACTGGGGGTCATGCTGCATGCTGTTCGTGCAACTCTATATATATATATATATACGTGCATAAAAGTCTTGTGCAGTAGCAAGGCGTTTCCGTTTTACAACTCAAAACCGTGTAGGAACCTTGATTGTCACGAAAGATGGCCTCAGCATGCCTCAGCTACCTGAGATCAATGTACTCTGGGACTGTTGGAGTACGAACAGGCAGAAGGCACAGGCATCCAGTAGCCTTCCCTGTTGAAAGTTTGTTGACACATAACCCCATGTACCAGACCACGATACTTGTAGTGAGACAGTTGTGCTGGGCTGAGCGACTGAGTTTGCTGTCCAGGTTTTAAAGGCTGAATAGAGAGCACCTCTACCACCCTCTACAAAATGTTCATTGGCAATCCATCCCGAAAAGAGTCACTGAAAGGCGCTTAAGCTTGCCAGATCTTCCCAGGAGGGAATGGCTGCCTTTGTACCACGGGCCAAGAATGTCGCCACAATTCTGCAGGCCGTCACTTCGAAGGTGTCCAACTCCTCGGTTCTTTGTTGAGTTGAGAATTGTTTCTAATAGCAGTGGCCTCCACCCTGGTAGCGATGGCCTCCAATCTACTAGCAATGGCCTCCAACAGCCAAGAAAAGAGCGCCAAGAAGAGCAAGAGCAGACATGTACATCATGGCCATTGCACGTCCATGTCAATACAAGAATCATCAAGAACCGATTTGATCTGAGTCACCCTGTACACACGATGCGTGGAGGAATTTGATGGGGACATCAGCCAGTTCATCAAGAAGCATTGCCTGGAGCTTGACCACTTGATGGGCTTCTTTTCATGTGTTGGCTCAGCACTTGTAGGATGGATGGATTCCATGAGATGATTCAATGCAGGGTTCAGAGTAGTGGTTGTTTGAACTGCAAGCTGCCATTGGGCTGTTGAACTCCAATCAGACGCAACCGGAAGGGTAGTGCACGGAAAGAGTTTGGAAAAACAAAAAAGACTATTCTACCAACATCGTGGAAGGCACGGGACAATCGTAGAACCCAGGGCTATACGTGGACATTTCGTGGAATGGTGGGCCAGTAGGAGAACTGACGGCAACAAAATCCCAGAAACCTTCGCAGAACTTCGTGGAAGGTATTTTGATGCACTAACTTCGTGTAAGCAATTTTTGCTGATCGCCTTTCTCCACACGCCCTCCATTTAGCCTTCATCCAAGGTGCTGGGTCTGTTTCGGCCGCCTACGACCAACTCTGCGGCAGCACAGCAGGGTTCGGCGATGAGTTTAATTTAGTTCACTGCTGTTTTCTTTCAGTTAGTTCGCGCCATGCCAATGCAAGGTACTGCATTGCCACTTACCTCCTTGGGATTGGGGACCGCCATTTGGATAACATCATGATCACTGAGGACAGTTTGGACCCACCATCCTAGAAGTTGATTCTATGTGTACAGCATATATATTACAATATACTGCAAATATTGATGCACGTCATCCGAAAGTCAGTCAGCTCACTACAAGGACGGACATTTCTTCCACATCGATTTTGGCTTTGTCCTTGGGGACGACCCAAAGCCGGGAGCACCTTCAGTGCGAGTCCCGTCCTGAGCATGATGGATAGACTCTCGCATGGTTCACAGTAACCGTCAATAGACTAGTCTCGCTACAAAAGATACGGAACATCATATCATGGAACAATATTAGTCAAAGATCTGGCTCATTTAGCCACCAAGGTGCCCAGTGAGGTGCTAGAAGTGTTGAGGCACCGATGCAATGCATCCGCTTTTGTATTGTCGTTTTGGAGCTATGCGAATAGTTTCTTCATCATGGGAGGCAATCAGGTCGAATTGATCGCTTCCACGAGCTTCTGCGGGAGGCAACCGTGAGGGGCGCTTGAAGTACCGTGTCCGTGCGGGTGTGTGTGTGTGTGTGCCAACCCCTGTTCCTAAGGGTTCTGTAATCCTGTTCAGCTACCACGGCAGGGGGATCAGGGACGTTTGGCTTGGCCTGATCCAACGAAGCTCCAGCCATTCGTCAGGATATTCTCGAGGGACGCCTTGAGAACGTACCTGCTTCCAACGCACTGACTCCAATG